CTCGGCGGTCCGCTTCCAGGTACACCCCCCGGTGGGAGTGTTGGGGTGCACGCTGGTCCACCCTCAGCCAGCAGCAAGTCCTGCAGCTGCCTATCGATACCTCTGTGTCCACATCAGCCTCAGGCCCCCGGAGACTCTATCGTGGGGTGACAGGGCTCCCTTCCAAGGAGCTGGCAAGAAGCACTCACACAAAACTATTAGAGAAATCAGGTGGTGACAGGCAGAGCCCAGACAGACAGACAGCCTGCGGAGGGAGAAACCTGCAGAGGGAGAAACTGATAGCACCCACATGGGCTCCCCTCTCCTGGGCGACATCACATCACCACATCACGGGACTAATCTTGGTGGTGTGAGCAGGGCGCCAGCAACCTCCCCCGGAGCCTAAAAATAAAGGGAGGGGGCGGGGCAGGTGAGAAGCAGAACAGCCTGAAGCTGGGAGCTGGTTTCGCCTCCTCATATGAGACCCACTGGGGTTCAAAGGCGGCTCATTTATCCCCAGGGCTGAGTTAGTCAAGGGAACGCTCTGCAGATGCCAGAGGCAGATTTCTTGAGTGCATCCGGGAGCTGGATTAATTGCTAACCGAGACATCCCAGCCACAAGGGAAAGGCCTAGGCTGCCTCGCGGAGAGCAGTGGGGTGGATGGAGGAGCACCATGGGGTTTGTTGCAGCCTGTAGGGGAGGAGCGGCTAACACCAGCCTGCACCCAGGGGCTCTGATTGCCTCGTTTGGGTGGGCACTGAAGTGAGGGTGGGCAGGGCGGTGGGAGGGCCAGGGTGCCTTCCAGGTGAGGACCTCCAAGTAGCCACCAGGGGTGGGGGAAGGGGAGTTTGTTTTGGGACAAGGTGAGTTTGAGGGCAAGAACCCAGGAGGTGGTTGGGAAAAGTGGCTGGGGAGATGGTGTCCCGTTTCACCCCTCCAGCCTCAGTTTACCCTGAGGTCCCTTCATTGCAGGGTGAATGGGATCTGCAGCCCCTGCCGGAGATCATCTCTGAGCTGGAAGAGCCCGCCCCTCGGTGCCCAGCCAGGCCTGGTCAGAGCCCCATGGGCCCCACTGCGGTCAACATTGGTGGGGGCAAAGGTTGAGTGGCAGGCCATCTCCTCGCTCCCCCTCTATGCTATCCCTGCGGGCTCATGACAGCTCTGTGCACCCCCCACTCTGTGAAGACCCCCATAAAATAGCTCAATGTGCCCAGGATGAAGGGGCTGGACTATGTCCCTGCCTGAGACCACGGCTCATTCCAGCATTCTCCCCCTTGCATGGCTGAGAGGCTCCCCTGAGAGCTCCCTGTTGACCCACCAGGACTGGACACACGAAGGCCCCCTCGCCCAGCTGGTGGTCTAGAGTCCAGTGCCCTGAAAGCCCTGCCCACATCTCTGGGAGTGACCAGTCCTCCTGGGACATGAGCCATGCCTGAATGTGGGGCAGACTCACCCCATGCAGCCTCACATCCCCAGCCCCGCTGGTGGCGATACGTGCTAGTGTGCCAGGTGCGAGTGCTACTTAAACGCCTCCCTGCTGAGTGGCGCTCCCATCACAGTGGGCGGCTTCCTGCCCACGGAGGCAGGACAAGCCATTTAGCTAGTTAGAGACTCGCCTGGGAAATTGCTCCATTTCACGGTAAATAGATATTTTCGCCCACCTAAAGGAAACCCTCACAGCAACTCACCACCACCAAAGACAAGATGGTGAAGATCCAGGCAAGGATCTGGGCGCCAGCTCCTTGGGGAAATGGGACAAGGAGCCCCGGGTTCCTCTCCCCTCAGATAAGAGCCCAGCCTCTGGAATCAGACCTGCCTTAGAAGCCCATTGGCCTCTTAGTGAGGGTGTAACGTGGGTGGACCATGTCACCTCCCTGCCCCTCAGTTTTCTGATCTGTGAAATGGGGCCAACGCTCTGCCGGTTAATGAGACAATAAAGCTCACACAGGGCGGCCTTGCTCCCACCGGAGAAAGCCTTGGCTGAGCTCCTTCCCATGTGGGCACCGGGCCCGGGGGAGCTGGAACAAGCCTCGCTTCCCTGCCCACCTCCGCCTTCCTCCCCAAGGAGCCGCCTCCCATTTAAGGCCAAGTTCAGCTCTTGGTTTCTGTGGGGAGTAACAGATTAGTCTCTGTTCAGCCAGTTCAGCAAAACACTGCGCGGCCTCTGGGGGAAAGAGGGGTGATGGACGGGCCTTGGAGCCCCTGCTTACACCACAGCAGGCGGCAGCTGAGCGCCGCTTCATCACACAGCAAGGGCGGCTCTGCGCTGCGCCGCATAAATCACGGCTCCCCGCGCCGCGAGCCACAGGGCGGGTGGCTGTGAAATGCCAGGCCCCGACCGCCAGAGCCGCCCTCGGTCATCTTTATAGCCTAGGATGACAGGTGGAGGAGACCCCTCCCCATCACGCCCGCCTGCCAGTGCGAACAGGGGCCCTGGTCAGCCCAGAGCTCCACCTGCCTCGCACCACAGAGCCCTTCTGGCCACCAGCATTTTGTCCCCAAACACCTGAGAGGCACTTGTGGTATTCCAGTCTCACCAAAGCGAGAACTGGGGAGAAATGGCTCGCCCGGGGTCCCCTGGAGGATTAGTGGTGATTAGAAATCACACCGGGTTCCAGAACCTTCTGCTACCCACAGTGACACCTCCCCTCCCCCCAACCTTTGTTCACTTTCAAGCTCCAGGCTGGTCTTTCTCTTCCTCCTGGGGGCAGCTGTTGGGCTCCTCCCACAGAGATCCCTGCCTGTGCCCTGTCCCACCCACCTTGGCAGAGACAGCGCTCCCACCCCAACTGCCTGCCCAGTGTTACTGATAAAGCGGCCACTCTACACACTGGCTCTGTGATAACACTCTTAAGAAGCCCACAACATATGTGCTGTTTCTGCTCCCACAGACAGATGGGGAAACTGAGGCTTAGAGACCTAAAGTTAGGTGCCGAGATCAATAGAGGGGGTCTCGGAGCCCCAGAGCCCCGGAGTAGCCCCAGGTCTGACTGCAGAGTCGGGGCCATCGGCCTCCCATTTCCTCACTTAAGACTAAGCAAGGACACCTGGGGGACCGCTTTATTTCCTGAAAACAACCCGTCAGGGCCAGGGGCCGCCTCGGCAAAGCCCCTCTCACGACAATCCAGGCTTGCCCACCTTCTGAACAGTGAGGGTGGTGGAAAGAGTGAGGTGAGGGTCTGGGTTCCCGTTCCTCCCTCTGCTGTGGGACCCTGGGCAAGCTGCTTTCCCTCTCTGGGCCTCTGCTCCCTCGGTAGCTGCATGCGGTCCGGGGCTACTGAACTGCGCAGCTCAGGTGAACAGCGTTTCCATCACTGCAGGAAGTTCTGGGCAGCCTGGCCCAGGGCTGAGGTTCCAGAGAGCACCGGCTTGGCCAAGCTCCATGGCAGGAGAAGGGGCACATTCATCCTCAGCTCTCTGGCTCTCCCTGACGGGGCAGCAGGCCCGACTCTGGCTGGCCCTGGACAGAGCCCTGGACCGCCCACCCTGGGGGCGCAGGGTTATCCACGGGGTACTTAGGGCAGGACCAGTCTTCCTGGCTAAGGATCATCCTTCCTGCTGTGGAAGGTGCATCTATCCGGGCCCCCAGCCCAAAGCATCAGCAGCACCCCACTGTGACCACCAGAAATACCTCCAAATGCCCTGGAGGGGACAGACACTTTGGCTTCCCCAACTGTCAAAGGATTGCTCGGTCCCTGGCCCCCACACACCCATCCTGCTGTGCAGACGGAGAAACTGAGCCCAGGAGCCCTGGGTGCCCCCACTGCAGCCAAACACGGAGCTTCTCATTCCTGCCAAGCGCCTGCTGAGGGCTTCTGCACACGCACAGAGCCTGGGGCCCGGGGCCCTTCTGGAAGGCACTGGGTCACGCGCGGCTCTGTGTCCTCCGGTCTCACTCGTCTCCCCTCCCCATCTCTACCCGCCTCACACCCACACTCCACACGCCCCTATATTTTCAGGAGCTTCCTGGATGAAAGGCAGCCCACCGTGTCCCATGGCTCCCAGACCAGAAACTGCTGTTTTTGTGGAAAAGTCCTAGTAGGGGCTTAGGGAGACTTCCGTGGAAGGTTCTAGACTAGTACCCAGGAGGCCTTACACCATGCTTTTGACTTCAGAGGGGCTGGGTCCATTAGGTGGGGTCCAGATGCTGCCTTCGAACACATTTGCAAACACACAAACATGGGCAAAACATGAATTTCTGTTTCTGAGCTCAGCCCCTTAGGAAGAAGTTGAATTGGAAACTGAGTCCAACCTCTTCGCCCTCAGCATCCCCCCAAAGCAGGCTGTGGAATGAACACGTGTGTGGACCCCACCCAGGAGTCTGCAGCCAAATCACAGAGACCAGAGAAGCAGGCCAGGCTGTCTGGGAAAGGGGCCTCCCCTCGCCTCCTCTGGCCCCTCAGGGTTCACTCGGCCTCCCAAGGTCAGAGGTGAGCAGGGAGGCTGCAGGCATTCCTTTGCCAAGGCGTTTGAAAGCCAGAGGCCCCTGCACCCCAGCCTGGGGTCTGGCAAGGGGGCCAGCTAGCTCTCCAAAGGCCATCTGGACCCAAACGTCTTCGCTGGCTATAGCTTTAGCCTGGCCTGTCCCAGCTCAGCCCAAAGCAGTGTGTGAGCCTCTAAGAGTGGCCAGGCCTACACCCCAATTACCACACTGCTCCTTGAGTTCCTGTGGGAATCTTGTCCTCTCTGTCCCCTGAGCGTCCACCACCCCTGCTTCCCAGAGAGCCAGGGATCCCTGGGCATGGCATGTAGTGCAGCTTTGTTAAGGCTGCCTGGCCTCTGGGGTGCCCAGTGGGCAATGAAATCTGGTTGGGGGGCAAGGCGAAGGGGGTGGGACTTGGGCGTGTGGGTGGGGCGACCAGACACCCATCCCAGGCTGGGAGGCATGGTCACATGGCAGATGCCCAGCAAAGGGGAGCAGGGCATCCCTCCCTTTTTAAGTCCTTGTGCAAGGTCCTTTCCCCAGGGTCCGGAAGAGAAGAGAGACAAGGGCACAGCAAGGACAAAGGCCACCCAGGCAGGAGGATTCTGTCAGATTCTTACTGAGATATAGTCTCCAAGGGGCTCCAGGGGAAACTGAGGCAGGAGATGGCATTTCTGCATGGGTGAAGGGCGGCACTGATACAAAGCCCCTCTCACCCCCTGCTCCCTGCTCCCAGATTTCACAGCTGGAAACTCTCAGGAGGATCCAAGGGATAAACTAATAGGTCAAGGCAGGAGGAGCTTTCCTTCCAGATTTCCACCTCTCCTGGGATCTGGGTAACAGACCATCCTGCCAAGTGGCCTTGGTCACAGGGACAGTTCTAGCCTACACGTGTGAGCCCTGCCTTAATACTGTGCCTGAGGCAGACATTACTAATCAATCCTGCTCTGTCCCTGATTCCGGAGGCACCTTGAAAATCTCCAAGGCTCAGAATAGCAGGTGGGGCCTCTTTGCCTCCCTCTTGTACTCTGGGCTCATCCGGGCTGACTAAGCACCTTCTAGGAAGCTTGTCACGGACCCAGAGCCCAAGACACTATGGGTCTGTTTGGGGGGAATGGGGTGGACTAGAGACCACCTTTAGATCAGTGACCACAGGCTGGGCCCTAGGGGTCTTCTTTCCACCCTCCCTATCTATATCTGTTGGGGGTTAACAGGCCTGGACTGAGGGTAGGGAGGACCCAAGTTCTGGCCCGGGTCCAGGTCGCAGGGCCCAGGGTGGTGCAGGCCCCGTGGGAGTCATGGATGGGGCAGGTCTCTGGCCTCCTGAGCAGCCGAGGCCTGCCCCATGGGCCCCATCAGTAGATCCCCTTCACTCTCTTGTTGTCAGGGTCAAAGGGAGATTTCAGGTGAGCCCGGGCAGGGTAGGTCACCCCCATTCTCTCCAGGCTGTAGTCCCCACTCTTCACGAAGTCCAGGGAGACCTAGGAGCAGAGGAGGAGGAGACGTTGTCACTTGTTACTTCTTGATGGGTGCCGGACCCACACCTGCCTGCTTCTCTTAGCAGGATCTCAGCCTCACTTCCAATCACTGTGCCAAGGGCCCTTCTCTGAACCAAGGAACTGTCTGAGCAGGTGGGTTCTGTGTCCCCATGTCCCTGCCGAGGACCTGAGCCTCTGGGTCCAGCAGAGCAAATTCTGGCAGCAATTACACCTGGGTCCGGGCCCCATGGAGGATATCTGGGGGGTTCTGTTCTGGGCATTAGGGGACCCCTCTCTCCTGGAAACTCAGGTGAAAAAAGTGAAAAACCAACAAGGCTTTTTATGTGACAGCAGTGTCAGGAGTGAGGCGACTTCCAGGCCAGGCTGCTGATCAGTGATGTGCACGGTGGGGCTCAAAGCTCCACGTGCCCCTGGAGCCTTCAGGCAGGTAGCACAGGCTGCTGGTGCCTTCAGGCTCCTAAAGCAGTGGCCCACCCAGAGTGGCATGTGGTCCCTACTAATACGCCCCCTGGGCTCCTTCGGCAGGGCCAAGGGACAGGACTTACGGGCCCTCCGCTGGGATCCCGGATGTAGCCGTAGGCAAGGGTCTTGTCGATGGCAAACCCAAACTCAGCCCTGCGCACGTGGCCCACCACCTGGCCGTTCCTCCAGATGGCCTCCAGGCCGAACATGGGCACTTTTCTGGAAGAGCACAGAGAGAGCTGGGACCGCAGAGCCCCCTCCCCAGGACACACCTGGCAGGGGAGGGGGAGCAGACTGGAGTGCGATGTCCCCGCACCGAGAGGGGGAGCCCGGACGGGTCGGGCGCCTCCTGCCCCGTGGCCAGAGGGAAGCGGCCTCGGCCCCGCCTGGCCGGTGGGCGAGGTGGGACGGAAGGAGGCTCTGTAAGTGTGGTGCCGCCGGGTCCTACACGCTCTCTGCCACCTCCCCCTGTGGGGATGGGCTCAGGAGGCCCCTGCCTTGCCCAGGGCCCAGCGCAGAGGGCAGGTGTTCTCTGTGAGTGCACAGGCCATGTCCTGGCCCAGTCTCTCCTGAGGACGGACCACAGGCTGCAGACCCCTCCCCTCTCTGTGCCCCAAACACAGCTAAGCTGCTCCCGGGCGAGGGACAAGCAGTCATGCAGAGACAGCCTGTCAGGGACAGGGAGACGCCACAGGACTATGACAAAGCACAGCTCCGCTCACCCCCGCCTCCGCCCCTCATCAGTCTGACACTTCTTCTGAAGGCCCCGGAATTCTGGGAGAGGAAGCGCTGGCTGTCAGCCCCAAATCAATAAAGCGGGAGCCTCGCCCTCCTGGAGACTGTGGCTGCTCTGACGCCAGCACGAACTGTCACCGCAAAGTGACTCCATCCAAGTGGAATCCAGGTGCCCAACTCCAGGGACAGAGTGGGCCCAGCTCCCGGGGACGTAACTGAGCAACATGCTCAAAGCCACCCCTCAAGGGAGAGCAGAGGGGCAGGGGCTCTCCACACTTCTGCTATGTGCTGGCACGAGTCACCCATCCCTTGACACCATGGGACCCCATATGCAAGTGGGGATGGTAGCTCCATCCTGGAGAGATGTGGGGGAGACTGAACTGGAACACAGTGGGAGGTCCGAGCACGGTGACGAGGAAGCTGGCTCAAGGCAGGGTCACCCTCCCAAGGCGTGGCAGGACCTTTCTCTTTGAAAATTTGCCTTGGTGGAAGGCGTGCCCTGTGCTCGTGTCCATGCCCCTGCTGACCCCGTCCTGAATGGACCTAGGAGCAGGGGACACTCACTCGTCCACAGTGAAGCACACCAAGCGTCTGCGGAGGCCCTCGGCCCGCTGCTGCTCCAGGGCCTTGCGCCCCAGGAAGGGGATGGTGGACTTGAGCTTGCAGGTGAAGGCCAAGCCCGCCTCCAGGGGGCTGTCGTCTGACCGCAGGTCTGCATGCCAGTGCCGGTAGCCTGTGTGGAGGGGGAACCACGGCTCAGTGCCCCTGGACCAGACACCACTGGCCTTCCAGCCTTCGCACCACTGGCTAAGACACTTGGGAGAGGGCTTGAGAAGGGGCCTGGCATACTCAGGAAACTAGGCACCGAATCCAAACCCAGCCTGCCCCAACCCACCCCCCGCCCCATCTCCACAGCACTGGGCAAGGGTGGTTGTCAGAGGTCCCAGCACCGTCCCCAGGCTGATGGAACACCTGGGTCATGGGGCAGTTGGCGGGGGGAGTGTCACGGGGCAGGAGTGGGACAGCTTCTCCGCCCGCCAGCAGGGCTCTGGCCTCCCACCAGCACCAGGTGGACCTGCACTCACCTTTCTCGATGCTCAGGGAGTCAATGGCCCGGTAGCCTGCGTTCACAAGGCCGTGCTTGGCCCCTGCTGCCATCACGGCCTGGTACACGGGCACGCAGGATGGCCTTGGGATGTGCAGCTCCCAGCCCAGCTCCCCCACGAAGGACAGCCTCATGGCCCGGACCTGGGGGGACAGTCACAGCTCACACAAGGCTGGGGTCAGACAACTGCGATTGAGGCCCCGCTGCCACTCGCGGGTGGACAGTTCCATTGTCACCATTATTATCAGCTGGCCCTGAGCCCAGGCTGGCCCACCATCAAAATGTGGGGTCTCCTGAGGCAACTTCCACGAGCACTCTGACAATGTTTAAGGAGAGTCAGTGTGGCAAGCAGGAGAAAGTGGACACGCAGTTCCCAGGCCTCAGCTCTCCTTCTAAGTAACCGTGTGAGTGTCCTGGGGTCACCGTAACAAATGACCCCAAACTCTGTGACTTAAAACAATAGAAATGTATTCCCTTTCTGTTCTGGGGCTTGAAGTCCAAAATCAAGGTGTCAGCCAGGCACGCTCCCTCCAGAGGCTCTGTGTGGATTTGTCCCTGCCTCCCCAGCCTCCGGGTGCCCCTTAGCTTGTGGTTGCATTACCCCAATCTCTTCCTCCATTGTCACATGGCCTCTCCTCTGCATTTGTCTCATCTTTGTCTCTTATCAGGATACTTGTCATTGGATTTAGGACCCAATGTCTGGCCTGAGCACAAGCAGCTGTGGCAGGGACAGCTGGTCTCTGGGCATGTGTGTCCCTCATACCTGTGTACCAGGCAAGCAGCTACAAGGAGGCCACCACCAGCATGGGGTAACTCCCGTCCGGTAGCATGTGTCTTATCCTGCACTGGGTTTGGCTACATGTCATTTAGATACCCAGCAACTGGTGTCTACTTCCAGGCCTTCAGGCAAATGCTGAAGCCACAGTGTCCTCAAGGTAAGGCCTGAGCACTCAGCCCTGGGACATGGAGAGCACAGCCAGTCACAGAGGTCACAAAGAGCGAGGAACTTACTCCACCGCTGCTCTGAGCTGAAAGGCCACCAGGGGCAGCTCCCACCAAGATAATATCTGCACAGGAGAGTGGAGGCCACGCTCCCAACTACAGAATGGGTTCCTTATATACTCGACTCTCTAACCATGCTGCAGCCAAGGGCTGGAGTCCCAAAGCTTGGAAATAGCACACATTTGCTCTGAGTTGCCATTTGCCCCAGCCTCTCAAAAAACTCAAAATTGACACAGAAAATGTACTGTTGACATTTTCTTGCCTCTCTGGTGCAAGCTATAGGCCCCAACAAAGATTGCCTTGTCAACGAGGTTCCAATTTTAGACAGCCTACCAAGGAGCCTCAGGCGCAAAGCCAAGCTCGTTGTGAAACATAAAAATCCCTTTAAAATTCACCCACTAACAGTTCCAGGATCGAGGATGCAAGTCTGACACACACGTCCCCAGCAAAGTGACAGGGTTGGGCACTTGGGCTTCATGGGAATCCGTAGGTGGGTTGAAGCCCTTTCCCAGCTCCCAGAGGCCAGCGAGGTGGGGGGCTGCTGCGTCTGACTCCCCACAGAGGGGATGAATAATAAATGCTTCCTGACTGAAGGAAATAGGACCCAACGGACCTCTGCTCCCCAGAAAAGTGAGGGATGGTCTGGGGAATTCCAAGTGCCTTTCTAAGTCCACAGAATCACTGATTCTCAAGACATCCCTCATTTTTCTCCTCTGAAGCAGTGGAGGTGGGGAAACAGCCAAGTGTGAGGGCATCTGGAACATGGGCTCTGGGTTGGCCTCTCCGGGCCTTAATGCCTCCATCTGATAAAAGGGAGCGGGCCAGTGATCATGAGCACCAACTTCTTGGGAAACCATTGGCTGGTACATAGCCACCTGCCAGTATATGCTGGCTTGGATGGACTTTAAAAGCAAGTCCCAAGGAAACTTTTGCACTCTTATGGGAACCTCAGGCAGTGGGTGGAGTCACAGAATTGTGGAAGGTCATCAGGGAGGACTTACCAGGTTTTGCTTAAACCCTTTTCTCACCCTAAAGACTCCCCCAAATACTGTTGGAACCAGTAAACGAATTCAGCAAGGTTGAGGGACATAAAATCAACACACAAAAATCAGTTGCATTTCTACACCCTAACAAAGAACAATTCAAAAAGGAAATTAATGACCCATTTACAATAACATCAAAAAGAATAAAATACTTAAGAATAAACCCAACCATGGAGGTGAAAGACTTATACACTGAAAACTTGTACAAAACTTTGGTGGAAAAAAATGAGAGAAGATACAAATAAATGGAAAGGCATCCCATGTTCATGGATTGGAAGACTTAATATCAATACTACTCACAGCAACCTATAGATTTAATAAAATCCCTATCAAAAATCCCAATAGCATTTTTTGCAGAAATAAAAAAACACATCCTAAAATTCATATAGAATCACAAAGGACCTCAAATAGCCAAAACAATCTTGAGAAAGAACAGGTTGGAGGACTCAACTTCCTGATTTCAAGCTTTCTACAAAGCTACTATAATCAAAACAGTGCAGTATTGGCATAAAGTCTGACAAATAAGCCAATGGAATAGAAAACAAAGCCCAGAAATAAACCCTCAGGTATATGGTCATGTGATCTTCAACAAGGGTGCCAAGACCACACAATAGAGAAAGGACAGGCTCTTCAACAAAGGGTATTGGAAAACTGAATGCCTACATGCAAAAGAATGAAGTTGGACTCTCATCTCACACCATATATGTATATTAACTCAAAATGGATTGAAGACCTAAATGTCAGTCCTAGAACTGTAAAACTCTTAGAGGAAAACATAGGGGGAAAGCTTTATGACACTGCACCTGGTGATAATTTCTTAGATATGACAACACCAAAGGTATAGCCAACAAAAACAAAAATATTCTAGTGGGACTACATCAAATGTGAAAACCTCTGTGCATCAAAGGATACAATCAACAGTGAAAAGGCAAAGTGCAGAATGGGAGAAAATATTTGCAAATCATATACTCAATATGGGCTTAATATCCAGAATATATAAAGAACTTCTACAACTCATCAACAATAAAACAAATAATCTGATTAAGAAATGAGTAAAGGACTTGAATAGATATCTTCAAAAATTACGTACAAATGGCCTATAAGCACATGAAAAAGTGGTCAATATCACTAATCATTAGAGAAATGTAAATCAAAACCACAGTGAGATACGACCTCATCCCTATTAGGATGGCTACTATTAAGAAAAAGTAACAACAACCCAGAAAATAACCAGTGTTGGTGAGGGTGTGGAGAAATTGGAACCCTTGGGCACAACTGGAATGTAAAATGGTGCAACTGCTAGGGAAAACAGGATGGTGGTTTTTTGAAAAATTAAAAATAGAACTACCATATGTCCAGCAATTCTGCTTCTGGGTGTATATCCAAAAGAACTGAAGGCAAGATCTCAAATTGATATTTGCAAACCCATCCATGTTCACAGCAGCACTATGCACAACAGCCAAGAGGGGGAAGCAACCCCAGTGCCCATCAACAGAAAAATAGATAAACAAAGTGTGACACATACACGTGCTGGAATATTACTCAGTCATTAAAAGGAAAGAACTTCTGACACCAGCTACAACATGGACAAACCTTGAAGATATTATGCTGAGTGAAACAGGCCAGTTGCAAAAAGACATATTCTGTATGATTCCACTTATATGGGGTATCTAAAGCAGTCAAATTCATAGAGACAGAAAGTAGAATGGTGGCTATTAGGAGCTAGGGGAGGGGAGGAATGAGAGCTGTTCAATGAACGTAGAGTCTCAGGTTAGCAGGATGAAAAATGTGTGATCTGTTGCAACGTGAATGTGCTTAACTCTTTAAACCATATGCTTTAAGATGGTTAAGGTGATAAAAACAAAACGAAGCACTATTTTCTCCATGGCCAGGCATCTACAGCCCAGAGGGACTGTAACTTGTCCTTTCTTGAGGGAGAGAGGAAGTAGACCCAGTCACAGGACCATACAGTGCTCTACACTGACCCACTCAAACATTTTGGGGTGGGAGGAGATATGCTCAGGTTTCAGTAAAATGTAGATTTGGGGGGCTTGATTCCATGCTTGGTGTATCAATGAATTTCCCACCTGCCAGCTCTCCTTGGAGATGACTTGAGTCCAAGGAGGGTCTCTGCCTTAGTGTGGATCAAAGGCCGTGCAGGTGCCCAGGGCTGGGGAGGCCACATGGCTCCCACGGATGCTCTGAGAATGTGCGCCATCAGGACAAGCCCGGAGTGCTCCTTTCTGCGTAAATTCTGCAGGAGGGCTCACGCAGATGAGCCCGCAGATGAGCCCACAGATGCAGGCCAGCATGTCCAAACTTTTCAGATCACATTAGCCCATGGCAGTTTCACAAGTTTCCAGGGCATTTGGTTGTGTAACAGCACCACTGACACAGCAGGCGCATCCACCAAGCTCATTCACCCCTTAAATAATGAGGGTCCCAGAAGCCCAGAGGCAGGAGATGGGCAGGAACCAGAGCATGTGCGGCCCTCTGCGAGGCCCGGGCTCCAAACCCACAGGAGAAGAAAGAAGCAAGTTGGTGGTATGTTCAGAGAATCTTCATTTTTTAAAACCCTCTGAAAGCTCCAAAGACATCCTTGATTCTAAAAACATTCTGCTATAGGGTGTGCAATCTCTCCTAGTGGTCTGGTCCAGAAGGCTAATGTGTGGTGATGGTGGTGGCCGTGGTGTTGGTGGTGGTGGTGATGTGGTGATGAAGGAGGTGATGGTGGTGGTGGTGGTGATGAAAACCAATTTTCCAAGAATAAGAATAAATAAAAGGCATGATGCTCAAACCACATTTCACAAACTTGACCTTCTCTGAGGATCTCATAAGCTCCATGGAAACTGCCAACCTTTGGGGTTCCTCTCCCAGCCTTTGGAATGCTGGGTAGGCCACAGACCATGCCCGGGATGCTCCTCAGAGGAAAGAGTACCTTCCTGGCTGCCTGGAGCCAGTTTCAAGCTGCTAATGGAAGCTCTGGGCCCACAGAGAGCGCCGGGCTGCTCGCGCTCCCTGCAGGGGAAGGGGAAGGACAGGTTCTCCTGGAGGACGGTCTGGAACCTCAGACGTACACCCCCCAGGGTCCCTCAGCA